GGCAAAGTAATGATCGATTACATGTCGAACTATAAGGTAACTTCGGCAAATACGCCTCTGGGATTTACACCGCAGAAGTTAGAAAAAATAGAAAGAGTGGCGATAATTTTCCCACAACTACTCTGTTACATGCCTTTATGTTATATTAATGTTAAGTTATGATTTCAACTTCTTAATGTTAATATTAATGAAATTGTTATGAGTTGAATCGATTTGTCACTGTAATAAGCAGCGCCATCATAAATTATAATCTATATAAAATGATTAGGTCATGTAAAAGACTTATGTCTAATTTCTTTATTTCTAGATAACTTTATTCAAGAGATATCTCTCAGAATACAATGGAAATATCTCCTGGATAAGGTTATCCGCAACTTATCTGAAAGTGAAAAAAATTGAATTATATTGAGTATTAGTGATTATTTATAATACATACGTGTAGAGGAACAGTAAAGCATGTTGTATAGCAAAATTCAAGTGTTTTGCTCTCGTATTTTTTGTTTAGTATTTTTAGTTTGTTGCCTTGTATATTCCTCTCTTTGGGATATACGACATTTTTAGAAGGCGAGATTTATGCAAAGCATACAAAGTGCGCAGATTGAATTCAGTGCACAAATGCAATAAACGCATTACATGAAATATATACCTCATGTACACTTGTAATATATGTAGGAAGATTGTAATTATTACTTCATATTTACCATTCTTATTCCTTAACCAAACTTTATAAACGCATTTTGTAAGTTATTGTGTCATTTTACGTCTTATTTGTATTATTTGTAAATTTTTTGTGAGCCGTACATACCCTCTCCCTTCCTATGAATAGCCTACCCTAAAAAAAAATCCTACCCCTATGGGATATATGGCAAAAATGCAAGAGTTTCAAAAAATTCATTTTTTAATACGAAAAATAAATATTTCAGATTTCTAATATTTTTTTTATAGTAATAGACAGTAGAAGTTTTTACTGATATAGTTCGTTTACTTTAAACATAGTAAATAATATTTAATAAATTAAGTTTTTTATAGGTGTATAGATGCGGCGTATATACCGAAGTTACTCTAATGCTTAATTTCTCTTGTTAATTTTGCAAAAGTCCAAAGACATATGTTTATTATTTTAGCTTTCATGGCCGGATTTCATGTGGGCTGCATATTCTGAACGTATAAGCTTTATCTTAACCAGGGATGTGAATCAGGATCATCCAGAATTGAAGAAACTAGTAGAGAAGATTCGTGCCTTACCCGAGATTAAAGCTTACATCGAGAAGCGACCCAAACTTCAATAATAAAATTTATAATTTTATGTACTTTTTGTTCTTGTATTGATGTCATTCTTTAAATGTTTTAAACCAAAATGTTTCGTGAAAATCTGGTGGGTATTAAGTTAGCTTGGTGGTTTTTTTGTAAGTTAATATTATATATTGAATATTTCTATATATGTAATAAACGTACAGAGTATTATATTTTCTTCATTAATAAAACTGCTTATTGACGAGAATTTGTTATTTTTTATTTTCTTTTTAGAATATTGTTTTATTATTTTCTATGAATAAGATTGAAATATCTAAAGTTATCTATAATTAAAGGTTTTTTGATGTAAAGTTTTCTGAAATGATAAAGGTTGGTAATGTGAGTACATTCGCTACTTTAAAAGTGCTGAAAAGGACGATTGTTACATGTTTATTTAGTAAATATATGCATATGTATTATACAATTGTCGTATATACGGATTATTGTTTATTCCTTAAAATAAAGAGAAATATTGATCATATATACGTATAAAAATAAATGCTAAAATTAATTCGAAGTTGCGCATATATGTGTGATAAGTATTTTTATCGATAATATCAATAATATCGATAATATCAATATCATAGCTATATTTTTGGATATTTGTAGTATAGAGATATTTTTCAATGCGATTTTATTAATGTGTGCTTTAAAAAAATATTACATTTTGAATAATTTTGTATTTTTAACTTTTTAATATCCTTTACTATGTTTGATAAACAAGTAAATTTTTTTAAAAAGTTTTTTATTGTAAAAAGTGCTAAAGAAATTATAATTTTGCAGTCACTACTTTTTGTTGATAACGTCAAAGTAATTCAAGGCTATCACTGATAAGGGGTCTGCATGCAAAGAAAATTTTGCCTTAATATTTTTATTTATCAATCTTTTAAATAAGTTATTTTTTCAAATTAATTGTTTAAATAATATTTAAAAAGAGCGCAATTTTTCATTTTTGTTCTAGGATATTGCAACTTTTTTCTAGGATAAAAATGTGAGAAAAAGAGTGACAACTTTTGTACCATTAAAGTTAATGGAGCAATTTTTCATTTTTCACATTTTTCCGCAATGAAAATGTTACATGATTCTAGTGTTGAAATAGTTCGATATAGTTTTGTATGTATTGGGAGATTTTAGTTTCATCGGAAAATAAATAACTATCCGATCTGATCAATGATTCAGATTTTGTGGTAGTTTCTTTAAATTGATGTACATTTCAGAAGAAATTAAATCTGACAGAAGTGAGCATATTAATGTTATAGAGAATAAAAATTGAATTTAACGGTTATTAATGTGCCTTTGTGGAGTACATATCTTACACATTTACTTGTAGCGGCTTCGATTTTATACAAGTTTTCTATCTTGAGATAAATAAGTTGCGCAGGCTGCGTGTTGTGTACACACACATCCGGGAAAAAATGTTTCATATATAATTATATATAATTATATAAAATTATATAAAATTATATATATTTATATAAAAAATTGACATATTTTAAATATAATTATATATAAAATATGTCCATATATATAATATTTTTTTTCGGCAAGTCTTTACGATAAAGCCATTATGCAATCCGCTTTATCACAAAATACATAAATACGACGACAGTTAGGAAATATAAGAAGCTAGCATTGACACGCCAATCTTGACAGAAGACGTTCTCTTTAATTATACAATAATTCTTATTAATAAGAATCTTATTAACGAGAATATAATATTTGACTATATATTGTTAGGAACGCTGAAATTGCATCTGCAAATTCTCTTTCGCGTTTGCAGAGAAGACTAGCGTTATTAACAGCCGTACTATAGAACAGGGAAGTATAATATTCGCACTTTAAATATTAAACATCCATGCATGCTTTACATCTTGTGTTCGTGTTATAATTTCCGGCTCGGCTCTTTGTATGAAGCAACATGCATAAGCGCTTATGCGTTCCTTTCAGATCCACAAACCACAAGCGATGATTTTAATGTCTTTTATTTACATTATTGTTAATTTCCATATATTTTTATGTGATCGTAATGATTGGATCAATTCCTTTTTTCTCCTTTTACAATAATTCTTCGTGATATTCTCTCATCTTTGATGTAAATTCCGCTGATTTATCTCGATAATGCAACTGTGCATCGTTTAGAACGTAGCTGAATCCGTGTTGCATCAAGATTTACCTCGATTGTGGCCTTCTCTTGGATTAGAAGTTTGTACAAACCTGCGCCGCGGTTTCCACAACCAAAGAGCGTTATTTGATTTGAGCTCGGCGTCTAATTCGAGAGACGGCGTTCTATCTAGATAAATGGACGTCAAGTGACGAGTTCGAAATTTAACTCGCCCATGTGTGTGTGTGTGTTTGTGTATGTGTGTAAGGCGACGATTCCGTTCCGGTGAACTCGGTCTCGTCAAAGTCCTGCAGACTGGAGTTGCTCATCGTATTGGCGCTCTCAATGCTCGGATGGCTCTGAAATCGTGGTCGCATCGCAATGACGGTTTCCAATTTTGGTTTCATCGGGCTAGTCAACAAATTCTTCCGGTGCAGCGCGAAGAATCCTTTTGTACCAATGCCCAGTCTCTCCGTGAGGATTCCTGCTAAAAATACCAAAGTGATAGGAACATTTTTCATGTTCTGCCGGATTTATAAGAATAAGAGTTAAGAAATTTTAGCAAAAAAAAATAAAATAAAATCAATTTCTGTTTCTTATACATACACATTTCGTATAAATATAATCTTTTACGTTTTATTTTGAAATAAATTTGCTTCTAAATGACGTTCTGATCATAAAAGAATATATACGTGCGTATAAAGATTATAATATATGTATTTAAAAATTAGAAGTTATAACAAAATATTTTATAACATATTATAACATAATATGTTTTGTAACTTATAACTTATAAATTTTTTATAGCTTATTATGGTTTCATATTTATGGATGTACTTTAATTACAAAATATGTGTGTGTGTGTGTGTGTGTATGTGTTGATAAAAGTGTGCTTATTAATTTCAAAATGATAAGCGTGTTTCAAGAGTAATGTTTTTATACTTATTTGAAATTTTTAATATGTATATATTATATGTATATATTATATCATATTTTTTAAAATACATATTTTAATAAAATAAGATAAAAAATAAAAGTATTTTAAATATTGTTTATTATTCGCAAATAATATTTTAGATATGCGCAACTACATATGTATAACGCATCACGTAGACATGTTTCTTTCGAAAAGGATTTTCCAATTAATTCAGTAAATTTAAGAAATTCCGAAGAAACTGATTTAGCCATCGTTGATTAAGTATAAGATTTTAATATAGAAGTAAGAGTAAATGGACACTACCTAAAGTGACAGCTTTCGGCGATCTCTGGATCCTCAAGAGACACTCGTTCGCGTTATTGTTGCCCTCACTGTTCCGTTCCTGCTTGCTCAACGTTGTCATCATGGTAAGTTGGCTGCAGTCGGAATCCCTGGACACTCTTCTGGTATAATCTCGGCAGCCTACGGTTTCTTTAATCGCAGGCTGTCTCTCTCGCTCGTTCTGCGACTTTACGAGTCCATTTGGCTCGCAGAAATTCGTGTTCGCCAGTGCGATATGCGTTAGTCGTTGCTGTTCGTCGCTGATGGATACCGAGGGCGAGTGTTGAGCATCATCGAATCGATGCTTTATTGATCTCTGATACCGCGACAAACTGCTATAAGTCGGTTGTCGACGGATGACCTTGTGAGACGAGAACTTCCTGATGCAATACTTAGGCAGCATCGACTGGAAGAAAAGATGGAAAGTAAGTAAAATTATAAAAGATTTTTTATTTTTGTAATTTTATTCTGATCCTAACTAATGCTTATCGATAATGTCCGAGAAAACAAAATTCATAATTAGAACTTATATATTATGTAATATATTTATTATAGAAATATGGAATCTGTAAAAAGTCTTTAAAAATATTGAGAACATAATAAAAAAATAATTATATTTAATATCAAATATATTAATTAGATATGACAAAATATTTTTTAAATGCTATATAAAATGTATTCGTTTATTTTTTGCAAGTATATCAGTATTTAATTATAAAGCAGTTCATGTAGAAATTGCCATTGAGAAATAAAGCTATAAAGAATGATTAAAGTTCTCCAGAAACGACTCACCTTGAAAGCCTCTCTGAACTTGTTAGACATGATATTGTAGAGGAGAGGATTCACTGTGGTAGATAAATAGTAGAACACTCCCGACACGTACGTGAGCGTGGTGTAGACTATGACCATGGTATCTTCCGGTTCAGATGAACTGCTCTGAGCGTACACAGCCAGCAGCCTTTGAGCGTGAAACGGCGCCCAGCAGATGAAAAAGGCCACCACCACCGCAACTGTAAAGACAATAATGACGTCCTATTGAATTAAATACCAGTGAGAGGCAGAGAGTAAAACGATTTTACTGATTCTTCTCGTGCGAGATAAAGTACAAAGCGAAATAATTTTTAGAAAATAAAATTAGCATGTATTCTAATTAAGAATATCTATTAAAAATATTTTCTCCGTTTCAGATTACAACGGTTGTAAAATACAATATATGTACGTCGTTATTGTTAATTTCAAAATTGTAAGTGATTTTTTTATAGAGTTAATAAGGAGTTAGCTATTTTCCAGAATGAGAACAAATCCACTTCAATTCATGATGCCCGTAACATATCGAGGAAAATATATAGACAAGTAACATCGCAAAGACCATTCGCCTTCATTTAGTGCTACTTCAAGTCACCTTTTGCGATTTCATTACTGTGTAATGAAACTTAGCAAGAAAATGAACTTTTATTACATTACTATTCACACTGCTGGAGCATTCGATAACAGTTTTCAAGAAATAAGACAATTAAAAGACTTTAGAAATTGACTTTGAAAATCGAAACACCGATTCTAACTTGATTTTAGCTTTTTTTTTAAATATTATTGTAAAAATGTAGCGCGTAAAAATGTTAAGTTAAAAATTAAATAATCATGAAATATTACAAAATCTTTCAAGTTTCTGACAATTGAAGTCTAATAAAGAACTTTTTGCGTAATACATGTCAGGTATAGATGAAAGGAAGAAACGTTTTATTAAATGGAATGGCTGATGAAATTTGGAAAATGCGATGATCGTCGAAGCAGTTTAATTTTGTCAAGATAAGTCTAATTGTAAGTAGATTTTTTTCTTACAATTTCAGATAATCTTGATTTCCGAATATTCAAGTAAAATTTTCTTGTAACATCAAATATATTTTTGTATGATTTTTATACTCCGTTTTTAATATCCTTTAATTAAAAAATGATAAAGATAAGTTTTAATTAAAAGATACTTTCCTTTTAAATATTCCGAAGTTTAAGTCAAGTGAGATTGCAATTGCATGCAATTACCATGTATGTTGCATTAAAATAATAATTAAATGTAATTCATGAATAACTTTTGCTTTTATCACGCTTTTTGATGTAGCGAATTTCTTTCAAATTTTTAAAGCATACTTTCATGTAAAATAAATTTAATTTAGGCGTACAATTACAAGACAAAATGCAATTGAATCCTTCACGTATTTCATTTCTTAAATAATGAACAACATATTGATAGAGATTAAGATATTTTGGACACTTTCACGTTTTCATCCTTATGTGTGTGTGTGTGTGTGTGTGTGTGTGTATCTATATTCCATGAATAAATTTTGTTGCATAATTATTATCTTTTATATTAGAGGAAAGAGATATAATACCTATTTAAAGTTCTTAGAGGAATTTCCATAAAAAATTCAGAAAAATCAATTGTGAAGATTTTACAGAACTCAATTGATCTTAAAGACGTTTGTGAATGCGAATGAAATTAATGGAGCTTCTTACAATTAATATTATAATGATAAATAATTATTACAGCTTTGTAATCTGTAATAAAATTAGTTGATATTTAGTTGATCGAATACAATGGGAATATAAAAATATCATATTAGGAAAAGATATTGTTTTCTCTTTCTTTCTTTTTTTTTATTTTGTAATATTACAATATATTATAATATTATACTTTACGTAATGTTACTTCTATGTGCATCTGAAAAACAAAGACGAAGAGATCTAAACCTTAATCTTGAAAAAATGACTCTGCAACTTTGCAGGCGTATCCTTGAAGAAGATTTTTAGAAAGACTTTATAAAGATTTATAAAGATTTTAAGAAAAGTTTTATGAAAAATGACTGGGATATATAAAAAAAAAACCGTGAGCGATCGCAAGAGTAAATATGTAAATGTTAAAGATGCTTTCGCTGTGCGAATATTTCATATTTTATTGAAACTAAATTTGGAAAGGGGCAAAAATGAATATAAAAAGATCACCCCGCCCGTCCTTGGCGGATGTTAAAAGCTAAAGGCTCTGATGTCTGTCGAAAAAGCGAATGAGTTATGTAGGACGAAATAATATTTAGAGATCTAATACAAATTTTTGCGTAGCAATGGAAAAGCTTAAAAAGTGCATTAAGAAAATATTTGTGTACTTTCGAGATTCGGCAGATACAGAAGTAACTCTAATGTAATCGTTTTAAAAATTTTTGCTAATTTATGAAATTATTTTTGTTAATAAAATAATTTAAGAGAGAGAACTCACACTATTTAAAAAAAAAATCTCCATTCTTTTTTCCTTATAAAACGGTTGCGATAGTTTAATTGCAAGAAAAAATTATTAGTAAATAATTCAGAAATAAATAATTGAAATAATAATTGTTAAGACTGTTCTAATTAACAAACTTTGCTTTATTTTAAGTTGCGTTGAAAAAGAACTAAGGTAAAATGTTAAGAATTGTTAAGAACATCTGTCGTTAAGCTTCTGGAAAATGTTTATAACATTTTACATGACTTTTTTAAACTTTAGAAATTTTATAAAAAAGCTTCTATCTTTTAATAGCTTTCGAGGGATGTTTCGTAATTTCTGAAAAAATTCGCGGTAACTAACTCCTTCACAATTTGTGGGGTATTGCGACCGTAAATACGCATGCCTGGTCGTGGGATCAAAAACACAAATGAATCATCGATGCGTTAATTCGAAACATCGTTCATCACAGTTTGTTGCAATGGTGGAAAAAGTTCGATGATACGGAAATACGGAGGGATGTGTATTTTTTCTTTTTTTTTTGCAAACAGGAAGCCGATTTTATTACCACGCGCACTGTCGACAAACGAGATTCGCCCACACGTTCAACGGTATGAAGGTCGGCATTTTTATTTCGATTATTGCTTCAGCTGAGACATCGAGAACGAGATAAGCGATTCTACTGTAATCGTAAATTCAGATGAATTATATCGGAACAAGTTTTCAAATTCACAAGAATCTGATCGACATCATTTATCTTCGCACGTTTTAATGTTTTAACGAGGATAATATGCAACATAAAAATGTATCAATGTGACATCCGTTATTAAATATTTTTTATTGCTTTTCGTGTCAATTTAATAAAAGTATATTTACATTTAAATATTTTTGTTATTGTATCGTAAATGTTACACACAAACATTACATACATTATTGTGCAACTTGGAAAAATTATTAAAAAAAAGTAAAAAGCCGTAATTATAATTTATAAAAACTTGATTAATTATTAATGAAAGCTCTGTTTGATTAATAAAACTTTTTTTTTAGTTTGTACACACGCTCGATGGATCGCAAAGCTTGCGGCTTCAAATGTACACACATGCACGTGATGTCTATTATATAAATGTCAGTAAATGTGCCACGTGCAAACAGAGTTGTCCAATTATCACCGATAAATTCACGAGTAATTGTTTTTCTATTTTTCAGAAGAGCAATTTTATACACAATTAATATCTTAATTTTTAATTATATGTATTATTAGGATTAAATTATTATAAATCTAAAAATAAGCATAAATTAAATTTAAAATTAATTTTATTATGTATATTTTTAAATATATATATATATAATTTTATATGCATATGTACAATATTTATAACAAATTTTTAATTAAATTTCTTAATATAATTAAGTAGTAATCTCCATCCTCGATCGATGCAAAAGAAAAGAAAACGTAAATGCAGGTGTAAAAGATACCAACTTTTCCTTTCTTTGAAAAATACGCATTATTTTTTCGACAGATGAGAGGGAACGAAAAAATTCTTTAGTATGTCAAAAAAAGAGATGAGATAATTTGCCGATTTGTTTGATGGAACGCTCCTTTCCAAGTTAAATTGATAAATTAATATATATGAATAGCAAATCAAACAAATAATTATTATCAATCACGATCCAGATTGCGATATTCAGAAAGTTAGGGCGGAAACGTTTATATATTTTTAGTACAAAGACCTTTTGTTGTTATCGAGACCATCTAGATAACGATGGTTTTTAGGGCGGGATATGTGTAGAATCCGGAATATTGAATTCTTACATACTGAGAGACTATAAAAGTACTACAACAGTGATTTCGAAGTCAACAACGTGTTTTTTCATACGTTTTTTCTTTATTAAGCTCGAAATCGACAACACTCATGTTTTGATAAGAGAAATCTAAATAAAGCTGTTTGTTAAATTTGTGTTACAAGTAGTTACTGCTATTTTCGATCTTATGTTTGAATGATAACTCTTGCATAAGAGTTAGACTTACATAAGAATGAAGAATTCGACCAACACTCAGGATTGCATGTATTTGAAATACTTTTATTCAAAAAGTATTTGTAACACAATTGTATTTGTATTTTGTATTTCAGTGGAACACATAAAAGTATTTTATATTTTATATTTCAGTGGACCACATGAAAATATTTTAAATCGAAATATTGAAAGTATTTTGTGTTTTGTATTTCAAATATAAAGATTCATAATAAATCTTATTATTTAAATTACAAAATATAAAATACTTTTATGTGCTTCACTAAAATACGAAATACAAAATTGTATTATAAATACTGTGTTTAAAATAAAAATGTTTTAAATGTTCAGCCCTGCTAATATCAATTAATTATTCGATTTTCTCAGACATGTAATCGGTTTATTTTTTTCAATGATATAATATAATAATTATCGTAATAGTATATTCCTGAGAGGTGGAAATTCTAAAATAATTTCCCCTTGACTCATGATATGAAATAAAGTTTAACAAATAAAGATATAACGGGAGTTTAAAACGTTTGACATATCGTATAACTCTACGCGAGCGATAAATTGCAACCCGGAAGTTCTGCAAACTGCCACAATAATGCAGAGTAAATTTGGATGCGATCTACGATCACGTGGAAGCTTCGGTACTTTGGGGGATTACTCGAGTCTTACGTAAGCCGATTGGTCGGAAAATAGACTGGAATCGTTCCGGTTAGCGCGAGCAAAGATATATAACCAGCCGTTCACCAAAATGTACCTGTAGATACATATATAACAATGATAACCGCGTTTTGCGTTTGCTTAGTCATTTATGTTAAAGATTCTAATGTACTTATACACAATGTAAATATAACTGTAGAGTCCAACTAAAGTTTCAGTTTCAGTTAAAGATCCAAGTTTTGGTTAAATTTCGGTTTTAGTAAAAATTAAAAGGGATGACATATAAGAAATTGATTAAATTGTAATTTAAAAAAGATTTTTATTTTATATCTTGTAATTAGTGAGATAATATATAATTTTGATACTACGGATGTATATTGTACATACAATATACTATAAATACAAATATATAAAAGAATATAGATAATAATATTGTAATATTAGGATGATAATAATGTGTAATTATTGTTTCAATAATTAAATTATAATATTAATGATATTATTGAATAAATACATAATATATATGTATATATACGTACACATATACATATGGAAATTCTTCTAGAATTTCTATAAAATTTTCAATTTTCGGTTTCAGCCAAAATAAAAAAAAAATTGTTTTGGTTGGACTCTACATAACTGTTTTAATAAATAAAAACAATTTTGTGGCTTTAAGAATGAATCTTAATAAATTGCCTATGTGTGTGAGAATAATTTATATCTGACTTCTACTGAAGACAACTCAAATCTAGTGTTGAAATGTTTGTAATTGACATTGTTAGTACAGTACATTCCAATTGTCTACAAATTATAACTTATCGCATTATAAATATATTATTTACACATTGACAAGCGCAAAGACAGTTTATTTATATTTGTTTTAATAAATTTATAATCTAAGAATAATAAAAAGATGAAATGTAGGTTCTGAGCAATTTCTTGTAACGCATATATTGTATCATATTTACGAGAAGCGTTGAG